GCAGGACTTTCTGTGTGTCCTTGAGCCAAAGCTAACCATCACATGAGTCCCAAGTCTCCAATAATGGGCGGCCCTTATAACCCTGCAGCAGGGAACAGCCCATGGGAGGCGTGGCCTCAGCCCCACCGCAAAGATGCATTTTAAAGCTCAAAGCAGGGCACCTTGCCAGTTCCACCCTCTGGAACAAGAGGTCTGTGAGTAGAACATTCTCGCTGTAGCCACAGCTGGGCCCAGGCCAGCCCTCTCCACACTGTGGCGTCCAATGTAGGACTCGAAGAAGAGTGAGAATTTTCATTCAAACTTGATCTAAGAATGTTTTTTCAAGGTCAGCCAACAAAAGGTTATTTTATCAAATATTTGTTAGTTTGCTTTATGCCTTTTAAATATTTATCTACATGGGATGTGGGTCCCCATGTATATTCTTGCCACGTCTCCTCAAACATTAGTGGGAGCTCTTTGGACCTTCGCCCAGCCGCCCTGACAGCTCTCCACCCCTAGGGCCCTCTCAGCCTCTTTTCTAAATCACCACCTTTACGTTAGAACGCCTGGCTCCCCAGGCGTCATACTGCAGACAGTCCAACTGAGGCCGAGGGAGGAAGAATGACTTGCTGGGATAGTTCCAGAACCCTGGCTACCAGCCCATGCTCTTCTCTGACTCTTGCCCTGGCCTACCCCAATCTGGTCCCTTCACTCACATTTAAAACTGGGCTGCCCTAGCCAGTTTGGGTCAGAGGATAGAGCGTCCGCCTGCGGACTGAAGGGTCCCAGTCAATTCCGGTCAAGGACACATGCCCGGGTTGCGGACTCAAACCCCAGTAGGGGGTATGCAGGACGCAGCTGATCCATGATTCCTTCTCATCATTGATGTTTCCCTCTCTCCCTCTCCCTTCCTCTCTGACATCAATAAAAATATTTTTTTAAGAAACAGGGCCAAGAAAAACCCTATTTTAGGGCCACTAAGTTGCCTGTGGGGCTAGCTTTTCTAATGCTCCAGGCTCTATCCCAGGGGCAGCCCCCACGGTGAGGATGACAGGAGGAGCCTCTGGGAGGGCCGCTCGGGCTGCCTGAACGTCTGAGACAGTTGCCTCTGGCCTGGTCTGGAGGGTGAGGAGTGACCACCCTTTCCAACACCTCGCTTTGTCCAGGGAAACTGATGGGAGATTCTGGCCTTCAGAACTGTGAGCGGATGAATGCCTATTGCGTCAGGCCACCCACTCTGTTGTAGCCACTTGTGACAGCAGCGTCAGGACATGAACACACACCCTTAGTGTCTGCTCCCAGAGAGCCCACCCCGCAGTCCCCCCTACTGCAGTCTGTGGCAACGGATTCAAAAGCCAGACCCGACACGAGGGAGTTTGCTAGTGTCTGTATCCAGCACTGAAGCCTGAATGGTTCCATTCTTTTTTAATCTGAGGCTATGTCACAGTGATGGCGAACCTTTTGAGCTCAGCGTGTCAGCGTTTTGAAAAACCCTAACTTAACTCTGGTGCCGTGTCACATATAGAAATTTTTTGATCTTTGCAACCATAGTAAAACAAAGACTTATATTTTTGATATTTATTTTATATATTTAAATGCCATTTAACCAAGAAAAACCAACCAAAAAAATGAGTGCGCGTGTCATAGGTTACCAGGGCCCGGGCTGGGGAGGATCCTGCAACCACGGTACTTGCCCTTGCCTGAATCAAACCCAGGACCCTTTGGTCGGAAGGCCCGATGCTCTATCCACTGAGCCACACCAGCCAGGGCTGCTTCCATTCTTCCTATGCATCATTTAAGACTCTGTCTGAGGTCCTACCCTGACCAGAAGCTCCTCCTGACAGCTCAAGCTCCCATGAGCCCTTTCTGAATCCCACTGAGGATGGCAGTGGCGTAGGGGGTGCCTCTGAGTTCCCATAGCAACCGGCACAGGGCTGGCCACAGAGCAGGTGCAGGGAAGGTGTTCTTTCTGAGGACAATGTCTGTGTTCCTCAGACACTCTTGCTGTTTTTCACACACCGTCACCTAGAGACTGAATGTTTATGTCTCCCCAAGAGTCATATACTGAAATCCTAACCCTTAAGGGGAAGCTATTAGGAGGTGGAGCCTTTGGGAGATGGTTGAGCATTGACCCATGAACCAAGAGGGCCCCAGTTCGATTCCTGGTCAGGGCACATACCGAGGTTGCGGGCTCCATCCCCAGTAGGGAGTGTGCAGGAGGCAGCCGACCCACAATTCTCTCTCACCCATGTTTCTCTCTCTCTCTCTCCCTCTCCTTTCCTCTCCATAAGATCAATAAAAAGACATAGTTAAAAAATAAATAAAAGAAACCTCAGAAAGCTCCCTGGCCCCTTCTTCCCTGTGAGGACACAATGCAAAAAAGACTTTCTGTCATGCCCCTGAAGCAACATTTTACTGATGACTTTTCGGTTTTCCATTTGTCTTTCGTTCAGTTGATGTGGCACCCATTTTCCTTCCTTTAAAATCTTTCCCATTGCTTGTAAAGGGTTGGAAATTGTTTTCTGAGCGTTGCTGTGGCACCCATTTTCCTTCCTTTAAAATCGTTCCCGTTGCTTGTAAACTATCAGAAATTGTTCGCTGAGCAACGTTTAATCTTTCTGCAAGTTGTTTCTGAGTTTGACACGCATCATCATCCAATATTGCTTGTCATTGTTGGCATTCAAATTCTTTCAGTTGACCTGGATGTTCTTTGTCTTTCACATCGAAATCATCCTTTTAAAGCATTTCAACCAGCGTTCACAAGTATCTTGAGATGGAGCATGTTCACCATAAGCTTCCCGAAGTATACGATCACTTTCAGCAGCACTTTTCTTCAAAGTAAATGAATTAAAACTTCCCGCAAATGCTCTTTTTCTGGCATGAAATTTGAGATTTGTAAGCATAAAAATATCTATGATGTTAACACCTTCAGCAAATTTGACATATGAAGTTTTGAAGCTTGCTGTCAATACAACAAAATAGCATACCTATCAAATCGCATATATATCAACATATGTGTAACTCTATTGAAAAAAATCCACAAACAACTGTAAACCTACTTTTGCCCCACCTTATGCAGAACACAGGCACTTCCTCAAGAACTGCTCTTTCCTCTCAACAGTCAAGAGACAGGTGGCTCAACACTCAAGGGACTTCAGCCAGAACAAAATTATTGTGGTATATTCTTACTCCTCTGAAATCCGATTGGATGCATTAGAGTGTTTTTTGTTGTTGTTGTTGTTGTTTTTGGTTTTGTCAGCCACTGCCTTTTTGCCTCCAGGACTGGCTACATAATTTGTGGGTTCAATACAATATGAAAATGAGGGGCCTCCTGTTGTTAAGAATTACATTAAACTAAGCACAGGCCCTGGAGGACTGCATGCATTGTATGACCACTGAGTCCCCTTAACCTCAGGATAGGCAGCAGTTCTCAACCTGTGGGTTGCAACCCCTTTGGGGGTCGAACAACCCTTTCACAGGGGTCGCCTAAGACCATCCTGCATATCAGATATTTACATTACGATTCATAACAGTAGCAACATTACAGTTATGAAGTAGTAACGAAAATAATTTTATGGTTGGGTCACAACATGAGGAACTGTATTTAAAGGGCCAGAAGGTTGAGAATCACTGGCATAGAGTGTTCTTGGGTTTATTGAGGTCTCCCTGGATATCGACAACCAAGGGGAGTAGGTATGGGACCCACTTTCTGCCTCATGCTCCTACCTGGAGCTTCTCTCTGAAAAATCATTATTTAGGGGGCATTGTGCCAAAAGTGAATGTTTCCCCTTGTCAAAATAACACGTATTTTAGTGTGCTTTTTAATGATTCTATCAAAGGCAGGCAAGAAAAAAAGGAAAAGAGGCAAGTTGTGGAAACTTGGTGAGACTATAATTCCATTGAAAAAAATTGGCAAAGTTATCAAAAGCCTCAAAAAG